AGAGGGGGGGGGACGGGGACGGGTGGATGAGGAGGAGGAGGAGGCGAAGGAGAAGGAGCAGCACCTGCAGCAGGAGGGCGGAGGAAGAAAGCGGGGGAACAAGGAAAGGAGGGGGAAGGAGGGGGAGGGGGGGCGAGGGGAAGGGCAGGGGAAGGCAGGAGGGCGGGGGGGAAGGAGAGGGGCGGAGGGGGGGGCAGAGAAGGAGGAGGAGGAGGAGGAAAAGGAAGTTCGCGCCTCCGCCCACGGCAGCAGAGGCGCGGCCGGAGCTGCCGGAGCTGCCGGCAACTCTGGGAGCGATGCCTCGGCGCCCATGGCCGCGAGAGGTGTTGTCGCGGTGCTGGCCGAGGGAAACAACAACGGCGCTTGCCTAAGGGGGCGGGCGTTGCGCGCATCTGGGAGACTCGTCGAACATATGGGCATTCTCGCTCCAAGCGCGAGAAAGCCAGTGCGTTCGACGAGGCCCCGGATGCTTGTAGCGACCGCCCACTAGGCCATCCGCCCCTGTTGCAGCCCTCGGGGTCGCGGCGGCCGCGCGGCGGCCGCCGGCGCCAGGCGCGGCGCGGCCCTGGCGCCTCGGGCGCGGCGCGGCGCCTCGGCCGCGCGGCGCCGCGCTGGAGCCAAAATGGCTATGGGGGTGAGGGGCGGGGGGGGGTCGGATCAGCGAGGATTGACATAGGGGCTCCTAGGATAGGAGGAGCACGGGATGAGCAGGAGAGAGAAGAGCAGGCGGGGTGGAGGACGAGGAGGAGAAGAAGGAGGAGGAGGAGGAAGAGGAGAAGGAGAAGGAAGAGAAGGATGAGGAGGGCAAAGATTAGATAGGAGAAGACACTATAATGATACTAAGGCGAGAGTAGGAGCATAGGAGGAGGACAGCTAGAGCAAATGGAAGCCTACCTGGATAATACTGATATTCTCGGCAAGGATGCGAAGGGCCTCAGAAGGCCACGTCGACGGTTTTCGAAAAGGCAAAACCTAAGGGCACAAGGCAATGACCTATCCCAGGTCATTTAACTTTCTCGAAGGCCTGGCAAACCTACATGTTTACACCGCCCAAACCCAAGTAGCAGTCGGAGAGTATCTTCGCCCCCGCGGGATGACCTATTAGCCTAATATCCTGTCCTAGAAGGGGGGGGGGGCCCTCCTCGCCTCTTCTCCTCCCAGGATGGAGGGCGGAGGAAGGAGGCGGAGGTGGTCGCGCTTTGGGGGCAGGAGGATGGTGAGAGAGGATAAGAAGGAGAAGACGGAGGGGGGAATGAGGAGCGGGGGATTGGGAAGGAGGGGGAGGGGGGGGGGGGATGGGGGAAGGAGGGGGGGGGGGGCGGAGGAAGGGGGGGGGGCGGATGGACCTGTTCTCGGAGACCATGGCCCTGGCCCCCTCGAAAACAATCGGACAGAACTGCGCCAACATCGATGATAAGGATGAGCGGTAAGGACGCAAACCCTTTGGACGCCCGCGCCCGCGCTTTCCGAGCGGGGCGGGCCAGCGCGGCGGCTAAGGGTGGGCCGAAGATGCAGCGATGCGAGGGCGCCCTAGGGAACGCAACCCATCATTATCATCAATCCCACAAGCCCTCTGGGCGCAGGTGGTCTAAGGACGTCTTTCCTTTTTCAAAAGCTCCCTCTTCCCCTTCGGGGAGGGGTCTGCCCCTCCCCCTACCCCCCCCCCCCCCCCTGGGCCTGGACCTGGACGGGGCGCCCCGCGAGCGGTCAGAACGCCTAAGATGGCCCCGATGTTTGACACCCCATCGCAGGGGTCGCGGCCCCCGAGGGGGGGCGTCGACGGGGGCCCGCACCTCCTGTGATCAATGGCCTCCAAGATGGCCCCAAGAGGTTGCGCAGGGCTCCCGAGAGCGCCCCAATGGGGGGCCCAAGAGGCCGCGAGAGGGCCCCAAGACTGCCCCAAGAGGCCGCGAGAGGGCCCCAAGAGGCCGCGAGAGGGCCCCACCAACGAGCCCCAAAAGGATCACTCATCAAGGCAACTCGCCTGGCGATTGCTGTTGGATGGGCTGGCGGCGACGCGCGAAGCGTTCGCAATTTCGACTGCGACAAGGGGGGGCCCTCCTCCGAAAGCCAGTCGACCAGACGACCCAGCCCCCTCACCCCCACTTTGCCACACCCTGCGGCACCTGCGGAGGTGGAAGGGCACGATGATCTCCACCTGCAGCACCAGGGACAGGGGCCGACGATGATGGAAGCGGCCTGGAACCTGGAGCCCACGGCGCTGGAGCGCCGCCTCTTGGGGCGCCCGAGATGGGCACCGAAAAAATGAATACAATGCCCAACAGCAAATGTTGTCCCAAACCAACGGCGGCCGCTGTTGGGCAGGCGGCCCCCTGTCTCAAATGGACGCAGGCCGCGGCGGCGTCGACAGCGAGTCCTGTTCAAAATGAACAGGAACTGCTGATGGGCATCGTACCCATTCTTTCCGTACCCATTTCGGGCGTCCAGATCCTCCTGATGGCCCGCTGCCTGCGCCGGCGCCTGCACCGCCGCCGCCGGGGCCGCCGCCGCCGCCTGCTCCACCGGAACCTGAGCCCTGACCCTTCCTGGGATCTTTCCTAGGCGTCGGGTTCGGATCAATTGAACCGTCTGCCTGGCCGTCGCCCCCGCCGGACATGGACGCCTTGAAGCTCGCCATCAGCGAGGTGATGCGAGAATCCGTCGACTGGCCGCGGAAGCCCAAGAAGCCATCAGAAGCGGCGTTGAGGATTGTCGCGTGGTCCTGGCCAGGGTCGAGCCTCGTCTTCTGCACAGTGGCAGCCTCATGGACATCATTGAACTTGATGCGGGTGTTGCGCTTCTCCGGTACAAGGACGCCGTCTTCCCCCTGCAACTCATACCGCATGTGCCCCTTGTCGGTCTTCACGATGTCGCCGTACTGGTCGACGTAGTCTCTCCATTTAATGTGTTCGTACCCTGGCTTCTCCACAATCGTCTGCCTCTTCTGCTTGACGACGAGCTGTGCATCGCTGGCGACCTGCTCCCAGTTGAGATGGCTCGACGCGTTGCCGCCAGAGGCGATGATGCTCTGGATGACAGTCTCAATCATAGCCTTCGCAAGGAAATTGCAGGAGGAGGAAGGAGGAGGATGAGGGGGAGAGGAGCCAGAGGGGGAGAAGGAGGAGGAGGACGAGGAGGAGGGGGAGGAGGAGGAGGAGGAGTAGGAAAAGGGGAGCAGGAGAGGGAGAGAGGAGGAGGAGGGGGAGGTTGCAGTCACGAAAGCGCCCAAGTCCTCCTCCTCCTCCAGGAGGAGGAAGAGCAGCAGGAGAAGGAGGAGGAGGAGGAGGAGGAAGAGGAGGACTTGGACAATTTCGTGACTGCAACCTCCAATCCCCTCCTCCCCTCCTCCCTCTCCTCCCGCCTCCCCTCCTTTTCTCCTCCTCCTCCCCCTCTTCCTCCTCCTCCCTCCCTCCTCCCCCCTCCTCCCTCCTCTTCCCCTTCCGCCTCCTGTCCTCATCCTCCTCCTCCTCCCCTCCCCCCCCCCCCCCTCCTCCTCCTCCTCCTCGCCCTTCTCCTCCCCCTCCTCCCTCCATGCCCGAAACGAGCGACATGGCAAGGTGAGCGTTTGCTTGCATGCCTTGTGCATCTCCAGCCTACCATCTCCTGCTCCAAGGTGCTGCTCGTACATCGCGATGGTGGTCTTCGCGCCCGGCATGGAGTTCTTGATCTGGCTATTGAAATACTTGAGGCAATACCCGCAGTAATTGCCAGTAGTCGCTCCAGTGACGGGGTGCGGGGGCTTGCCCCACCAGACGTACCCAAACTTGCCGGCGTGCTTCTTGACTGGATCCTCGCCGTCGTCCTTGCGACCGCAAAGACGGCAAGCCCGCCCGTCTGGCTTGCAGGGCACACAGACAGGGCCGCCTCCATCAGCTGTGCCCATCGCTGCCTTCTCCGGAGGACTGACGTCCATGCCGGCCTGCGAGGACTTGGAGGCCCGGGAGCGCTTGTAGCCGCCAGAGACGGTCGCTGCGGTCGCAGGCGTGGGAAGCTTCCCCGACAGCATGGCGATGCAGGACCGACGGTACGCGGGTCCCGACAGGGGGCGGCTGGGCGCAACAGCCAAAAAGACCTGGACCACCAACGGCTACAACTGAGACCTGACAACGCGAACAACCGACTGCCACAGAGCCCGCACACTTCGGACGTCGTACATCTAGGTGCCTCTCTTTGCGCAGCGCGCCCCGCAATGCGCGACGCGCGGCTATCTCCGCGCCCTCGCGAGGCCACCTTGGAGAATGGAAGCTCCCCAGCCCAGGCCACGACAAGCGAAGCGCGGTGATCTTCGCGACCCCAGTGCCCCAGGGGTGGCCCAGGTTCAGAAGGGCGGCCCAAGACAGTGCGATGTGACCCTCTAGTTGACGTCGTGACTATCAGGGCCCGATAACCTGGAATGCCCCCCCCCCGAAATTCTCGCTTGAAGAGGCCTTATCACCCGCGACGGACATCCTGGAGCTCTCATCATGGGACCATCCGTGTCACAATACCTCGCAAGGCCGAAAGGTTCGCCCTCCTGCTCCTCCTCCTCCTCCTCCTCCTCCTCCTACTCCTCCTCCTACTCCTCCTCCTACTCCTACTCCTCCTCCTCCTCCTCCCCTCCCGTCCTCTTCCTCGCCGCCCTCGCCCTTGCCCTCCTCGCCCTTGCCCTCAGCGAGCCCCCTCCTCCACCGCCCGCGAGGGCGAACCAAGTGAGCGCCGCCGACTCCGCCGGCCTAGCCAGGGGGGCAGGGCGCCCAACGAAACGCGGAGAGGCCCCCCCTGTCCAATCAAACCATTACGATATTTGCATTTGGATGGGGAAGGGGGGAGACATGGGAAGAGGGGTAAAAGGGGGCGAGGCTGGCGGATGCCGATGGCGGGGGGGAGGAGCGGGGGGGCCAGGGAGGATAGTGGAATCACTGTCTCCGACATCCAGTGGCCCACATAGTCACGTAGACAAAATGTCCCCCGAACGGGCGAGCTAGAGGCGCGTCTATACGTCGCAGCGCCAGGAATGATCATCAGTCCGAGTCACTCGAAAGGACTTCCTCCTGGCTGCTGACAATCTCATCCTTGCCAGCGTCTCCGTTGCTACCCGCGCGGCGCAGGGCCATGCCGTAGGTGGCCAGGAGGGCGATGTTCCAGGGGCCGAACTGGAACAAGGAGTAGGCGTTCCCGCACATGTTCGACACGAGCTCGACGAACGCGTGAGACATATCATCGGGGCGGATTTGCTTCCAGCAGTCGTCGGGCCAACCAATCATCCGGGCGAGCTCGAAGCACTCCAACGCCCTGAGAACGGGCGGCTTACCAGGGCGGATCCATCGAACCACCATCTTACTGGAGCCGACCAACGTGGGAGGCGACGGCTTCCACGGCGACGACTTTGGCCCTGACTCGGACAAGTTGCGCTCGATGAGCCTGGGGGCGCTGAGGTTCGAGTCCATGAACTCCACGTCGGACTCGGCCTCAAACAAGTAATGGCACAGCACTGCTACCTCGCGCTCCCGCGGTAGCAAGCCGTCCTGCCGCAGGTCCAGGGGGTCCGGAGACGAGGCCAGGCTAGAGTACTCCATTGGCCAAGAGCATGGCAATTCGGCAGCAAATCGATCCCACAGTACCTTGTGTTCGGCCTTCCAAGTGGGGTCGTCCTTGAGGCTCTTCGACTCGCGAGGTCCCAGATCAGCGAGAAGGGGAAGATGCATCCGCATGGCCTCGGCCCGACGGCAATCATCATCTAGAGTGACGCATTCGCTCCTCATTATTCGCGCCGACTGCTTGGTGCCCACCAGTATCATGTTGAAGAACTCCGGGAGAAAGCTGGGCGCTTCAGAGATCTTGATGGCGGCCCAATAAGATCTGATGCGGTTGGGGAACGACCCCCAGTCAGTTGCGTCAACTATAGCTGCGTGCGCCCAGTACCCCATGGACTCGAGCTCTCGGATCATGAACTCCGAATCTGACTCATCCGTCCCCTCAGTCTGCGCCGCCAGCTCCTTGACGCACTCCAGCGAGACCAAGACTGGGTTGTGCTTGCGAATCGCAGCGGCTGCCATCGCGAAGGACTGCCCAGTTGCCGCCGTCCCCTGTTGGACGCAATTGACGTTCTGTGCATGAGAGGAAGACAGAGGCGTCCTGCTCGTGCACGTGACCCCGCAATCCAGCATGATGGCATAGGGCAGAAGCTCGAAGTCAAGGCGGTCCTGGACAGTGTTCTGGTTGATGGCAGAGTCCGAGTCGAGCTCCGCCATATCGGACACCAAGAACTGCGGGTTGTGCTGGCGGCGGAGGAACTCCTGCTTATCAGAGTTCCGCTCGCAGTCCAGCACGTGCTGGAAAGACACATTCACGCCGTACCTGTCCTTCCAGACGTCGCTTAGCACGTTGAAAAACAACTTGGCAACGCCGCACCCGGCGCACAACGCCCAACGAGGTAAGGGCGATATCCTCTCCAACTCGCGGATCGCCTGAATGAACTGGACCTCGACGTCGGCTCGCATGGCGTCGTGCCACCGCTCCACCATTAGCCTCAAGTCAAAGCGCTGGCCGTCCTGGGAGTCGCCAACAATAGGGCCCGTGACGTCTAGCAAGCCCGCTGCCGGCCCCCGATAGGGCGGACTGGGAACCCCAGTCTACCATCTCGAGGCCTCCAGAGGGCTTCTAGCCAACTCCCCCCAGACCCCAAACTCCGGACGCTGGACCGCCCGACACCGCCGACCATGACTCGGGATTGAGATCCAACAGTCGCTGCCCCCAGGGCATTGGATCTCTCAGCGCTCTAAGGCTTCGTGCCCTCACCCAACAAGTTCATGCGGGGTTTGCCGATCTGTCCTAAAGGCGCCCGAGCAACCCGCAGCCCAATCGCGAGCCATCGGGGCCCCCATTATCCCCCACATGCCTTCGGCGCCTGGTCAGCCCCCCCCCCAATATCCGAGGGGGGGCGCGGCGAATACCTTCGGTGGAATTAAGAAGTGAGGCGACGATTTCAACATTAAGTAGTTAATGCCCAAATTATTTAATATAGTTTTAAAATATATTATTAATTATTGAAATATAATAAAACAATTTTACCGCGGATGAGTTCAGACGAGTTCGGAATCGCAATCATCGAAACACTAGCAAGAAAAAATACCGCGGACGAATTCAGACGAGTTTGTGAAAAAATGAAACATATAAATAACATAAATAAAAATATAATAATAAAAAGGTTTTTTAAATGATATGATGATATATATAACATAAGCAACACCATAGCCGGACTAACAACATATGATAGCGATGAGCGTCGCTAGCGCCTTGCACAATGGAGAGGGGTGGCGGCGTCATCCATTCGACCATCGACAACGGAGAGTGGATTCGGCTACTCGATCCAAACGTCTAGCCCGAGCGATCGACGGGTGGGCGGGGAGTTGCTATGACCTGGTCCTGGGCGCCCGCGCCAGGGGAGACCTCGCCGCCCAGCACCGCGTCGCCATCCTTCTCGGTCTCCGGCTGGGCGACCTCGGAGCTGACGCGCACCGCGCCGCAGAGGGCCGCCGCCAAGCTCGGCATGGTGCGCTTGATCGGCGAGCAAGGTGACACTTCGGTAGGCAGCACGCAGGGGGGGCTCTGCTGCCTGGGCGGCGACTCGGTCACCACGATCGGGGCAGCGGCGACTCGGGCGCTCGGTCCAGAGCCTTGCTTACGCCGCGGCGGCTCGTCTGGCACGACGATGGGGGGGTAGACTGCGGCCCGGCACGAACTGCACGGCAGCGACCCGAAGTCCTCTAGATCGTCCTTGTCGAACGAGTTCTTCTGGAAACACTGCGAACAGGTCAGCTCCACGAAGTTATTGGCGGGGCCTTCTGCACGCGCTGCCAGCGACCCACAAGCGTCCGCGACCTCCTCGGCGTCGTCATGATACTTCGGACCTCCTGCCGAGGGTAGTTGGCTGGAGACCTGAAAGATCGGGGCGCAGTCGACATCGATGATAAGGATGGCCGGCGAAGACGCGAGTCCCTTGGGCCGCAATGTTGAGACGTGCCCCAATGGGTATGGCCAGCAAGTGTCTTTAAGGATAGGCCGCAGAGGTACGGATGCAAGAATACCTTTGTGTGAGCTACTCATCCCGATCATCAACATTGACTGCGAGCGCAACTGGCCTGGAGCAACCAATCTGTCAGGGCACGAGGGGGGTGGGGGCGGGGGGCGGGGGCGGGCGAGGAGCGATGGGCGAGGGCGAGGGGGGGGGGCGAGAGAGTGGAGGGGCAAAGTCACGCCAGCCCTCGTGGCGCAGGTAATATAAAGATGCCTTTCTTCCCTCTCCCGAAAGCTCGCTCTTCCCCCTCGGGGGGGGTTCATCACTCCCCCACCCTCCTCCCCTGGACCTGGACAGGGCGCCCCGCGAGCGGTCAGAGGGCCCAAGATGGCCCAAGATGGCCCCGATGTTTGACACCCCCCACAGGGGTCGTGGCCCCCGAGACCCCGAGAGGGGGCGTCGATCGGGACCCGCCCCTCCTTTGATCGATAGCCTCCAAGATAGCCCCAAGGCTGTCCAGGGCTCCCAAGAGAGCCCCAAGAGAACCCCAAGGGGGTGCCCACGAGGCCGCAAGAGGGCCCCAAGACTGCCCCAAGAGGGCTCCGAGACCCCGCCAAAGAGGCCCAAAAGGATCACTCATCAAGGCCACTCGCATGGCGATTGCTGTTGGATAGGCTGGTGGGGATACGCGAAGCGTGAACAAGTGCGAACCTACTCAGACTCGAAACCAACCACAAGGCACACGACGAGATCGGCAAGTCGACAAATCGAGCAAGATTGGCCCGCAAAGCTCCTCCTACGAGTCGAGTCCAATCGTTGATCTCCGCGCGGCCGTCGAGCACCCCTCCGCCGCCTGCCCCGGGGCTGCCTGGTGGAGTCGCCATCTGCTGCCCCTCGCCAACGGGGGCGACGCCGCCCGCCTCGGGAACCTCTGAAGCAGAACTTCCATGCAATGACCCTGAGCGTGCGTGCTCCTCGCAAGCTGGTCCTGCGCCCGTCGCCTCTTGCTGCCCCTGCGCCTGCTGCGACTTCTCCGCAAGCTGGTCCTGCGAGCTCCTCTCCTGCTGACCCTGCGCCTGCTCCTCGACACGCGTGGCCTCGGGCGTCGCGTAGGAGGCGCTGACGACGTTGTCGAGTGCCACGTAGTCCTGATGCGATGGACGCGGCGTAGCACCTGAGACCTCAGCATCCGCGCAGCCGCCGACGGCTGTCGGCGCCGCCGCCTCCGCTGCCGAAGCCTCCGCCGTTTGGACTTTCTTCTTCCCCTGATCCTCGGCGACGTTGTCCTTCCTATGCTTCTTCTCCTGGCGAGTCGCTTCCTCCTCCTGACGAGTCCCTTCCTCCTCCTGATCCTTGGCACCTTTATCCTCATGCTGTTTCTTCTGTTTGTGCTCCTTACGTGCCTTCTTGTCCTTCGTGTCCTTCTTGTCCTTCTTGTCCTTCTTGTCCTTCTTATCAACAATGTCCATTCTGAGACTTCTTGGGCCGCTTATCCAGCAACTCATCTGGACGCGGCTGCGTCACAGTCAGTGCCTTATCATCATCCAGCTTCCCACTTCGCTTCCCATGTGGAGCGCCGCCTCTGAACTTCAACGTATGAGTAACCTTTCTCTTTTTGTCTGTGGGCTGCTCCACTGACGGCTTGCTCTCGCTCTGGATCATCTGCTTGGGGCGGCCACTCGGCCAAGGCAGCTGCGACTGCGCGTGCTTTGAGCGGTTCCTCTCTCTCTGAGCTGGCGTCAGGAACGATGTCAACGGGGCGCTGTCGCCCATCTCGCGCGCGGGCTCGCCCGACCTGGAGGCCATCGGGCACGGCGCAACTGCGGGCGCCAGCTGCTGGGGTTCAACTCGAGCACCGTCGGCAACGCGAGAGACAGAGAGAGAGAGAGAGAGAGAGAGAGAGAGAGAGAGAGAGAGAGAGAGGACAGACAAAAAAACAACAACAACAAAACAAGGCATACAGATAGAGAGACAGGCTGGCAGACAGGAGGACGGAAGCCTTCCAGGAACGCCCCAACGCGACCCGCGGGCTTCTGGTCTTTGTTGCGGCCATGTTGGACGGCGTCTCGGGCCACTCTTGGGGCCGCTTTTCTCAGGCTCAGGACTGCGGGGTGCCTCCTGAGCCGTCTTGGCCAAGCGCTCGTGCTTTTATTGGAGATACATTGGGAAGCCTCGCGGGCGCCCCCAGAGCTCGGGTTGGATACATTGGGAAACATCACTAGCGACTCTACAGACGCCGCCCCCCCGAGATGCCGATCACGACGAAGCCCCACGCAGCCCCTCGGGCACCCTATGCGGATCAGGTCTGCCTGGGCGGGGGGCCCAAGAGCCCGAGGCGGGGGGGGGGTAAAAAATAAAGAGAGGGGGGGGGGAGAGACAGAGACGTGGGAGACTGGCAGATCTAGATCATCTAGCTTCGCACATCGCGCCCCGCGATGCGCGACGCGCGGCTTCTCTTCGCCCCCGCGCCGCCCCCCGTGGAGAAGGGCAGCCCTCCGGCCCAGACCGCGACGCGGGAAGTGTCATTATCGTCGCGCCCCTGGGAGTGACCTAGCAGAGGATGGCGAGCGACGGCAGAGAGGAGGGGGGAGATTTCGCACTCCGCCCTGGAGCAGGCGGGCCGTTCATCTCGGCCGCGCCGCGGCCGAGCGGGCAGGCAGGGGCCCTCCTCGCGGCCCGCCGCCTCGCTCTCCACGGCGGGCGCGCCCGCCGCGTCGTAGTCGCCGTCGCCGGCCGCGCTCCTCGCACCTTGGGTGGGGGCGGATGGAAGCGAGGCACAATGAAAACAAAAATGTGAAAACAACGATTCTGCTCGCCCGTCTCCTAATCTTCCGTCTGCCCATTCTCCTCCGCATCTGGCGCTCGTCCCCCCTCCCTCCCCCCAGCCCCCATCCCCGTCCTCCTAGGAGTAGGAGGAGGGGAGAGGGCGGAGCAGGAGCAGCAAGAAGGTGATCAGGAGAAGCGAAAGGGAGGACGAGGGGGAGGATCGGGGAAGGAGGAGGAGGGGGAGGAGGAGGAGGAGGAGGAGGAGGAGATGTCAGACAACTCCAGGACAGCTTCCGGGGAGATTCCTCCACTGCGACACCCAGAACGCAATTCGCTACAAGCTACCCGTGGGAATTTCGAGACAGCTTCTGGGGCATTTCCAGCGCGATGGCTCCCGCAGCACCATTCCCGGTGGGTTTCACGCAAAGCTTCCTGGGCCGCTTCAGGGCCATCTCCAGCACGGCGGTCACCGGAGCGCCAGACACGCCGGGGCCCACGCCAGAATTCCAAGACAGCTTCCGGGGCAATTCCAGGAAGTCCAGGAGCGTCGGGGAAGGCTGCCCCCTGGGGTGCCCCCCCCCAACCAGTGCCGCACTCCATGGAGATGGCGCGCGCGAAGCGGAAACCCCGCTCCTGTCAAGGATCCCCCTCCTCCTCCTCCTCCTCCTCCTCCTCCTCCTCCTCCTACTCCTTCTCATAATCTCACCCTCTGCCCCCCTCGGCAAGCGTTTGGGGGTCTGCAAACGGCGTAAACCCCTTGGGTCAACAAGCCTGCCAAGGTCATTGCCGTCTGCCCGGGTGGGCGCGCGCAGCCGCCCGGCGGCGGCAGGGGGAGGCTCCTCCACCTCCCCCATCCTCCGCCTCCTCCTCCTCCTCCCCCTCAGTCCTCCTCCTCCTCCTCCTCCTCCTCCTCCCTCATCTTCCTCCTCGTCCTCATCCTCTCCCTCCCCCCCGTCCTCCTCGTCCTCTCCGTCGCCCTCCTCTTCCTCCTCCCCCCCATTCTGCCCCCTCTCCCCCCGCCTTCCCTCGCCCCCCCCCCCCCCGTCCATGTCTGGATCGAGCAGATCGAACCAAAACCCCTGCGCGGACGGTCGCCGATTTTCCGCAGAGTAAGCGACGGTTGTTTCCGCACAAATACGCCGCTCGTTGGTGCGACCGCGCGGGTCGACCAACTGGGCGCTGCAAATTGGGCGACATCCTGGGATCCCCCAGACCCCCGACGTCGTGATTTTTTCACAACGTCGACCCCCAGATGTCTGTCGCCCCCGAGGCCCAGTACTCGTGAGAGCCCCCAAAGGCCGAACATAGCGAAAAACCTCACGTTGTGATTTGTTCACGACGCCTGGAGGTCTGGGCATCTGGACCGCGGCCACATAGTGGGCCGATTTCATGACCGCGGCCACGAAAAGGAAGTGGAGGATGAGGGTTCTTTCCGAAGCATATGGTTTGACATATGGTCGCAATCTCGTACTGCGTCCCTGGGTGCTTCTCGCTGACGCTGCACGAGCGACACTACTGGGGACGAGGTGGGAGGGCGGGATAGGAGGGTTTAGGGTTTAGGGCTTAGGGTTTACGACGAGGTGGGAGGATGGGCTGGGAGGGTGGGTCGTTTCCCCGAAGTTGCGCATGCGTTAGCCACTTGTCGGCGCACGTCCTCCGCCAAGCCCTCGCTGCACGGATCGTCAGCGGATCGAATCGGATCGAGAGGGGAGGAGGGCGAGAAAATGGCAAGCGAAGCGTGGGCGGCCCTTCTGCATTAATGCAGCGGCCAGCATCACGCGATAATTCTCCGAGAAGGGAAAGGGGGGGTAATGGTTGTTAGGAAGCGTGGATGTGGAGGTTGCTGGGGCGAGGGAGGTGGTTCCAATCGAAGCGTGGGCAAGGAGGGAGAGAGGCGGCCTGGGGGCCTGCAGCTCGCTCCCAGCAGTACCGTGCAGAGCGGCGGCTGATATTATTCAGCCTGCTCGCTCGAATTCGAAGTGGGGGGGGGCGTGTGTGTGTGTGTGTGTGTGCGTGTGTGCGTGTTGCGCGCGTGCGTGCGTGCGTGCGTGATGGAAGGAGGGGTCGAGGGAGGACGAGAGGCGAGCAACTCGTAGGAATGCGTATCTCCAGCATCATGCTGCTCGATCC